GATGCTGTTAACACCCACGCTTCCCCTCCTCACCCCACCTCCCCTCCTCACCCCCACCTCCCTCCCCACCCCACTCCCCCTCCCCCACCCCACCTCCCCACCCCACCTCCCTCCCCACCCCCCACACCTCCCCCTCCCCACCCCACCTCCCCCTCCTCACCCCCACCCTCCCCCCTCCTCACCCCCACCTCCTCCCCCACTCCCCACCCTCCCCACCCACTTCCTCCTCACCCCACCTCCCCTCCTCACCCCCACTCCCTCCTACCCCCACTTCCTCCTCACCCCCACCTCCCCCTCCCTCACCCCCACCTCCCTCCCTCACCCCCACCTCCCTCCTCACCCCACCTCCTCCCTCCAATTCCACCTCCCCCCTCCTCACCCCCACCTCCCCTTCCTCACCCCACCTCCCCCTCCTCACCTCCCCACCTCCTCCTCACCCCCACCTCCCTCCTCACCTCTAATAAGTATGCGTCCTCCCAGCCCTTCCTTAGGTGTGTGTGGCAGCAGAAGACAAAGCTTCAACACTCCTTGCACAAATGATTCCCTTACATATGTCAGCCTGAAACTCTTATAAAACTCGTATATATTTACCACAAAAACTAACTTAGCCACATTACTTAGTTTATTTATACCAACACCAGATGGTATTACTTGTTTATACCAACACCAGATGGTATTACTTGTTTATACCAACACCAGATGGTATTACTTGTTTATACCAACACCAGATGGTATTACTTGTTTATACCAACACCAGATGGTATTACTTGTTTATACCAACACCAGATGGTATTACTTGTTTATACCAACACCAGATGGTATTACTTGTTTATACCAACACCAGATGGTATTACTTGTTTATTTATACCACTAACTGTTCACTGTTAGTGTTGTGTAAATGTTCTTCGTGTGTTGTGAGGGAGGAACTTGACCTGTTGGTAGTGTTCTTGTGTTCACCTGTCGTGGTATTGGGAGTTCTTGGTGCTGTGTGAACATTACAGTGCTGTGTTAAGACTTGTGAGCTGGACTATTATTACAGCTGCAGTTAGCACAGTAAAGTGAGTGTGTGTGTGTGACGTCAAGTATAGAATGTTGGCTGGTAAACACATGCTCTTAGGGTTATGTTCCTTCAGTATTAACACTTAGGTAAACATTGGTTTGGAAATAGAGAAGTGGACGAGTGGAACAAGTTACCAAATATCATCATTAACTCGAATACGCTGGATAGCTTCAAACATAAGGTGGAATGAGTGATAGGGGTTGGGTGTAAACGGGACTGACCAGTATGGCTCCCTGCAGCTTCCTCCATTCTTATATTCTTATCATAAAGCACTTAACATTAATTTTATAAGTCAATCATAAGTGTGTGTGTGACAAGTGTGTTGACAAAAATTGTAGTAACTTTAAATCCACTACAGATACACAATATTGGCTGTTTAGGGTGTGTAGGCTGGGTGTAGACTGGGTGTACTGTTATGGGTAGGTGTGTATCTGTGCCGAGAGAAAGCGGCTGTGCTGACTAACTGACTGTGGTCAAGTTACTTAGAGAGCTCCTGTTCTCTCTCTTTTAACCATATGGAGACGAAAGTTCTTTATATAGAAGGTCCATTCGATGTGAAACTTCCATATAACGAACTATATAAGAAAATTAAAGTCCGATATATTGAGGGTTCGTTAGATGTGACACCTCCATCTAACGGACTCCTGTATATGGAGAGAAGTCCGTTATATGTTGGTGCCGCTAAGATGGTTCAGGCTCTCACTTGACTCAGTTGTATTAATATTGTTGTTATTGTTGATGTTGTTATTATTGTTAATGATGTTATTGTTGTTATTGTTGCTAATGATGTTATTGTTGCTAATGATGCTATTGTTATTGCTGTTGTTATTGTTGCTGATGATGTTATTGTTATTGCTGTTGATATTATTGTTGTTGTTGTTGATGATGTTATTGTTATTGCTGTTGTTATTGTTGCTGATGATGTTATTGTTATTGCTGTTGTTATTGTTGCTGATGATGTTATTGTTATTGCTGTTGTTATTATTGTTGATAATTTTGTTTTTATTGGTGATAATTTCATCGTTGTTGTTCAGTGTGTATTTTAGTGATCAGTAAACTGCTTCACCATCAGTAACGTGAGCAGGTGAGTGTGTTGATGATGTACTGCCTCAGGTGAGTTGACGAGTGGTGGTGACAGTTCCTACACTGGCTGTCGGTGGTGGAGATGACCGACCCAGTCTTCTTCTATCCCCTCGACCTAGTCTGTCTGCCCCTCTTTTTTCTCCTTCCCTCCTGTGGCCGCGTGCAGTGACCCGTGCAGAAGGTGTTGCGGCTCATGGAGGCCGGTCACTCACCCCTGCAGCCCGACAGCTGTGGTCTTATATATATATATATATATATATAGAGAGAGAGAGAGAGAGAGAGAGAGAGAGAGAGAGAGAGACTGTATGTGGTGATGTTTACACTGCCCTCGTTTGTGTGTGTGTGATACTCTGGTTTTTCTGTAACTGTGCCACACAGAAGTAGAAGAGACTTAAATAGATAGACAGTCAGACATTAAACTGTACAGACCAGTTATGTAGCGGTAAGACTGTGACGTGACCATTTATGACTGTGACGTGAGCCTAATACTGTACTGCGCCTCTTGGTTAAATTGTTCACTTGTTATAAGAACATAATAATGGAGGAAACTGCAGCGGGCCTATTGGCCCATACTGGGCAGCCCCGTTTACACCCAACCCCTATTGCTCATATATCCATCCAACCTATGTTTGAAGCTATTCAGCGTGTTCGAGTTAATGATGATATTTGGTAACTTGTTCCATTCATCCACTACTCTGTTTCCAAACCAGTGTTTACCTATTTCACGCCTAAATCTTAATTTGTCTAATTTAAAACCATTGTTACGAGTTTGCTCCTGGTTGGATAGTTTGAGTACTTATACACCTCTACATTCGCTATCCTCCAGGATTCTGGTACTACACCTGTTTTTAAGGACATGTTAAACAACTTTGCTAAGGGCATACTAAGCTCTTCCTTACATTCCTTTAATACTTTGGCAAATATTTCATCGGGACCTGGTGACTTATTAGGCTTTAGCCTTCTACCTATAGCCTTCCTTTGGCCAATGATGTTCTTTAAATAATTATTTATCCATTTAGGGTCATTGTTGTCTGACCTGAGTTTTTTGTATGGTATGTTCTGCCTTTGTGCATTAAGTAACTCATTATTTAAATTGTCGTGGAACTCGGCAGTCTCAGATCTCGTTATCAGGTCGGCTTCAACGGTCAGGTTCACCCCCAAGCGTGACACACCCTCTCTCAGCTGCCTTTTCAAACTATCAAAGTTTGCCCTTCTGAAATCTGGGACTTTTGTGGAATTTTCCTTACGTCTGCCCTGAAAATCTAACTGGAATCTAATTTCTTTGTGATCGCTGTTTGCTAGTTCGTTCCCTACCTCGACATTGCCAATGAGGTTTTCTCTGTTCGACAGAACTAAGTCGAGTATATTATTACCCTGGATGGGTTCGGTTATATGTTGGCTTAGGAAACAGTCCTGGATTGTTTCGAGAAAATCCTCTGATTCTGAGTTACCTGAGTCCAATCTATTTGGCCAAGGTTAAAGTCGCCTACTATACAGGCTTTGTTGTGTATGGAAGCCCTGCGCATTTCATCCCAGATAAGTCTCTCATTAACTCTATCAAGATTGGGAGGTCTATATATTACTCTTGTGATTAATTTTTCCCGACCGTCGATTAATTCTATCCAAATTGTTTCTGTATTCCGCTCAGTTTTTATTTCCTTATTTATTTCGCACTTCAGATTATCCCTGACATAGATTACTACTCCGCCTCCTTTCCTGGTCTGCCTATCGGTATGGAACAATTTGTAATTCCTAATTTGGTATTCGACAGGTAGCTCACGTGAGTCTAGGTTGATCCATGTTTCAGTGAATGCTATTATATCGATTTTTTCGGTACATGCCAAGGCCCTAATATCCATTTTGTTTCTCATACTTCTACTGTTCGCGTAGTAGACATTTAAGTTAGTCGTGTTCTGAGTCCTCCCTTTACCGAGTTTAGGTTTTAACTCCCTGTCTAATTTAGTTTTGTCATTCCTAGCACCATTTCCCTGTAATTTTTCACTTTGTTTACCCGCTCCCACTGCAGTCTCCTCCACCCCCGTGCCCATATGTACCCCTAGTAGTTTAAAAATTTGATATCTTCTGAACTGCCCCCTCCAGAGACCCAGCCAGGGTTGCCACCCCATCCCGAGACAGGTGCACCCCATCCCTAGCATAAAGGTCCTTCTGCCGTAGAAGTTATTGAGGTCTTAAACTGATATAAAGGTGTTGTTGTGTGGTCACCTGTAAGCTAGCCAGCTGATGATGACCTGCTGCAACATTGATTAAGAGTAAAAGTAATAATATCACTAACAACAACATGAGAGAGGAGCGTGGTGGTGGCTGGTGACCTCTGATCCAGCCAGGTAGTGTCCGCGCGGCTCTTCTCCCTCACACCACCTGCTCCTCTCTCTCTCAATAGTCAGATTATAAAAGGCAGGTGGATGGTATATATCACACTATCAATAGTCAAGTATTGCTACACCAATGTTACAAAAGTGTGTAATTTTCCCAGTAATGTGTGTTTGATTGACAGACGGCCTTCAAACTTGGCGATACTAATTGTCACACACACACACACACATACACACACACACACACACACACACACACACACACACACACACACACACACAAAGCGGATCTCAATTTACAAAAGTTTCAAAAGTTAAATATTTTTACCCTCAAATTGGTGATATGAGAAGGCAATGTATATGGTCCACTTAAGAGTTGGATTCTCAGAGGTTTTTAACGTTAAGTGTTGCCTCTTAAGTGGACAAGTGAGAATTTACCTCACTCACTCAGCAGAGGTGTATAGTGTTGTCAGTGTGTTTGGTCAGGTATAGATGGGATTTGTTAAATTGTCTTCGCTTACCAGGAATTGCTCTCGTCACACCCAGCCACCGTCACACCCAGTCACCGTCACACCCAGCCACCGTCACACCCAATCACCGTCACACCAGCCACCAATCACACCCAGCCACCGTCACCCAGCCACCGTCCACCCAGTCCGTCACACCCAGCCACCGTGCACCCCGTCACCGTCACACCCAGCCACCGTCACACCCAGCCACTGCCGTCACACAGGTACAGATTTTTTGCCTCAAAGTAGAAAATATTACAAAATGTTTAAATAAAACTAATTTTTTATTTACTGTTTCATTGTTTAAATTGTCAGTGTGTGTGTGTGATATTAATGAAGAACACTACAGAACATGGCGTGTTATACACTGCCAGGCATAACGAATAACACACACGGTGTAGTTCCGGTGTTCCTCAACTCTCCGTCAACACTTGTGCTTGGTTCCCTACCGTGTGTGTCCTTATCAATGATGTTCTCACTGTATTATTCTTGTTGTTGTTGTGTAATTATTGTAGTGGCATCATCATTGGAAAGTCATATTATAACTCTTATTTCCCGGTTACTATCCTCCGTCTCCCTCACCGACAACATGATCACCGTTACTCTGGTATTCGTATATTTACCTGGCGTGTACCTGTCTGGCCTTTACCTGGCTGGCGTGTACCTGCCTGAACTGTAGCTGTGTAGCGTCAGTTGCCAAGGCTGCCGTCAGGGGGAGTAGCACAGTTGTCTGGGTTATCAAGGTCATGTTTATGTCGGGTGTTGTTACAGTGCCGCGTTAATTATGGTAATGAGCTGCCTTGTTGACTCAGGTGAAGTGATTCTTGTTCACTTAATTAAGGCCAGGTGAGGTATGACGTGAGGAATGTGTGGCATCATCAACCTCCAGGTGTGTGTGTGTGTGTGTCCTGTAACGTTAAGGCTTCTGTACGATCTGCATATCTCTATTGTAAGCTGCGTAGTGATCAAGCACGTGTATTATACTCCGTGAGGGGACTAGTTTACTGGGAGCCCATAATGACGTTGGGTACATGCTGCGCAGTTGGTGACTTATGTAGTGCGCAGTGAGGAGGAGGGATGGAGGGTGAGGTAGATGGTATGTGTGGCACTATAAGTACTCCTCAAGGAAAGATTTAAAGTGGTACTCGTAACCTCAAGTGGAACTCGACCAGACGTGCAGATGAAGACGACGCCAGCCAGCCTTGAGGTGTGTGTGTGTGTGTGTGTGTGTGTGTGTGTGTGTTTTACGGAGGCTGTGGTAATGTGGTATAATACACTCGTACCGTATTGGCTACTCTTAAATTTACACCTACAGGGTACAGTAACTCCACCACTGAGCGTAAAGGTGTACTAAGATTGGTTAAAACAGACAGATAAATACAGGTAACGTTATGAGTAAGAAACAAGATAATTTATTGTACAGTTAACTACTAAAGTCAGTTCGTCTCTCACCCTGAACCTTCCTCTGAGACTCTTGAACCCGAAGCTGTAAACTGATGATGCATTTTTCTGTCCATGAATGATTCGGATTAATGAGTTTGAATCTCTTGGGGTGGGGGGGGTCGTGGTTCGTGATGCCCTGTTGTTGTGATGAACTGTTGTGGTGCCCTGTTGTGGTGACCTGTTGTGATGCCCTGTTATGGTGACCTGTTGTGGTGACCCTGTTGTGATTCTCTATTGTGATGACCTTTTGTGGTGCCCTGTTGTGATGCCCTGTTGTGATGCCCTGTTGTGGTGACCTGTTGTGGTGACCTGTTGTGATGACCTGTTTGTCAATGTTTGTCCCGAATACGGTAGCTGCACGCGTGTTTATTCTCCGTAAAAGAATATCATTACCGTTTCCGTTCTTTACAATATAAAACACTGGACGATATGTTTTGAGATATTCCACAATGTAGTGATACGTTTCCTTCACTTAACCATTGATATATTTGTAGGAATAAAACTTGAATTTCGGGTCAATTTCGGGTCATTTTGGGATTATGGAAGGTGTGAGCATGAAATTGTTATATACCAGGTAATGTAATACTGATAATATTGCCAGTGTTTACCTGTAGTCGACTGTATCAACCTTTTAATGATACATCGACCCCCATGGCGACTGTAGTTGTAGTGTTGGTTCAGAGCGACAACAGGACACGTGATTGTTACTGTTATTATCGTCGTGTTAGGTTATTTCAAGGTTGGTTTGTGTGTTGTAAAGATGTTGTTGGTTATTGATGATTATTTTGATTTGGTGTGTGTGTGTGTGTGTGTGTGTGTGTGTGTGTGTGTGTGTGTGTGTGTGTGTGTGTGTGGTAACCCCTGAGCCAAGCAAGGTGAGTTACATATATGACCTCATTACTGCTGTTCCTCCGCCACCACCCACTTAACCTGACAGACTCTCTGCGTTCCTATCTACCACCCACCACCCGCCCGCCCGCCCACCTCGCCACCCAGAAGGACTAACCAAGGAGAATTTATTGCCATCCACAGTAGTTCATCGCCCTCTCTCTCGTTTGTGTGCGTGTTCGCGCATCTTGTCTTCCCTGTGTTTATTAAGATGACCTACTTATGTCCCCACCGTCACGACCACCTCCACCTCACCTCTTCCACCTCACCGCCTCCACCTCACTGCCTCCACCTCCTCCACCTCACCTCCACCCTCACCATCTCTTCCATTCTTCTTCTCAGCTCTTGGCCCCGCCCCCATGTTTACAGCCCGCCCTTGCACTCGCCTGAAGCCACGCCCTCCCTGCCCCTCACCCCCCAGCCCTCCCCTAGCCACGCCCCCACACTCCCCAACACAGTGGCTCTCTGTTCCAGTTAAACTTGTTGATTGACTGCTGCTTGTGTCAGTTTGTGTGTTACGGTGTTTGTGACGGTTGTAGCCAACGTGTGTTAGGTGTTTGTGACGGGTTGTAGCCAGACGTGTACGGTGGAGGTTGTAGCCAGACTGTGTTACGGTGTTTGTGACGGGTTGTAGCCAGACGGTGTGTTACGGTGTTTGTGACGGTTGTAGCCAGACGGTGTGTTACGGTGTTTTGACGGGTTGTAGCCAGACGGTGTGTTACGGTGTTTGTGACGGGTTGTAGCCAGACGGTGTGTTACGGTGTTTGTGACGGGTTGTAGCCAGATGTGTTACGGTGTTTGTGACGGGTTGTAGCCAGACGGTTGTCAAACGGTGTTTGTGACGGGTTGTAGCCAGACGGTGTGTTACGGTGTTTGTGACGGTTGTAGCCAGACGGTGTGTTACGGTGTTTGTGACGCAAGGTTGTAGCCAGACGGTGTGTACGGTGTTTGTGACGGGTGTAGCCAGACGGTGTGTTACGGTGTTTGTGACGGGTTGTAGCCAACGGGCTGTTACGGTTTTTGACGGTTGTAGCCAGACGGTGTGTTACCGGTGTTGACGGCTGTAGCAAACGGTGTGTTACGGTGTTTGTGACGGTTGTAGCCAGACGGTGTGTTACGGTGTTTGTGACGGGTTGTAGCCAGACGGTGTGTTACGGTGTTTGTGACGGTTGTAGCCAGACGGTGTGTTACGGTGTTTGTGACACAGGTTGTAGCCAGACGGTGTGTTACGGTGTTTTTTCACACTTCCAAAACAGTTGGTGTGTTTGTTGGTTATTTGATGAATTACGTTTTTGTGGTTCAATTTCACTTGGTAAACACAACAGCGATGTTGGTTTGTGTGTTGCAATGTTTATGATGTTGTAAACATCTTAGAGAACACGAAAAAGAGAGAGAGAGAGAGAGAGAGAGAGAGTCTTGGCTTGTGTGTTGTTCCTGTGGCTTCTGTTCCCAAGTTACTCTCCCCATCCCTCCCTCCTTCCTTCTACACCCACACAGACGCTCCCAGATACACTCGGCTACACCCACCTGTATATACAAAGCTAAGTTACACATATGGGGTCTACACACAGATAAGTTACACACACACACACATGTACTCACAATGTCACCCCTGACTTCGCCTCAGTAGATTAAGGTTGGATATTCAGAGTGCGTCTTGAAGCCTTAGAGGAGAGGGATTGTAATGATGGATGTGTGTGTGTGTGTGTTCAGGGGGGGACTCAGCTGTTGGGTGTGTCTGAGGGTGAAGTATCAACACACACACACACAGGATAGAGGGCGTGGTGTAACGGCGTTGGTCATAGGTAGTAGACCGGGCGGGGAGGAGGAAGTGATGGTGTTACGGGTGTAGTGGTGTCATATACAGTGTAGTTTGTGGGCTGACTAACGGACGGTCGGGTGTTGTGGATGTATGTTGACTGAATCGGGCTTCAATAACCTCTGTAACTGATGCCAGATTAATGTGTACCTCCTCCCCCCTCCTCTCCCTCCTCCCCTCCCTCCTCCTCCTCCTCCTCTGCAGTTACTGGTATTCGCTTGGCACGTTTGGGTATTGCGTTTGCTGGTGTGTCATGGGGTGTCATATGTAGCGGTGGTGTGACCCAGGTGTGGCTGGGTATGAAGGCGGATGTGGCCGCGTGTGTGTGTGTGTGGCAGGTGGGAAGCAGATTTGAACAGGTGTGGCCAGAGTTACAACAGATTTCAACAGATTTGGTTAGGAAAAAAAGCAGCTGTGAGACAGGTGTAGGTCAAAGTGTGGGACAGGTGTAGGTCAAATGTGGGACAGGTGTAGGTAAGAGGGCAATGTGGGACAGATCGAGATAGGTGTGGGCCAGGTGTGGACCAGGTGTGGGCCAGGTGTGGGCCATGTGGTGGTAATAGCGCGGGTCAAGCTGATGTCTGTTGTTAGTAAGTGGTGGTACTTCCTCCTCCTGTCACCTACATTAAGGTTGACAGTTCTTGGGTCCCGCCTCTACATCCTTCACCACCACCTCCTCCTTCACCACCCCCACCCCCTCCTTCACCACCCCCACCTCACCACCCCACCCCCACCCCCACCTTCACCACCCACCCCACCCACCCCTTCCACCCCCACCTCCTCACCACACCCCCACCCCCTCCTTCACCACCCCCACCCCCCCTCACCCCCACCTCACCACACCCCCACCCTCCTTCACCACCCCCACCCCTCCTTCACCACCCCCACCCCCACCTTCACCACCCCCCACCCTCCTTCACCACCCCCCACCCTCCTTCACCACCTCCAGGCTCCACCCACAGCCAATAATCATCAATGTGTGGATTTCCGTGTTGTTGTTTCATCCTTTAAGACGAGTCCTGTTGCCTCACACTGTTATTATGGTACTCGTCAAGGTCTCTCTCTCTCTCTCTCTCTCTCTCTCTCTCTCTCTCTCTCTCGACTTTACTGATGGCTAATTTTACCTTCAAGGAGGAGAGGAGTTGATCCTCACCACTGTGGAGGGAGGGAGAGTAAGGGGAGGGAGGGAATGATGGAGGGAGAGGGAGGGAGGGAAGTGAGAGGTGGAGGGATTGAGGGAGAGATTGTAGTGGTGGGAGGAGGGATAGAGGATTTTGATTTTGCCGCTTACAGCGTTTAGTTTATTGTGCACCCCACACTCACCCTGTGAGCGGTAGCGCAAAAGGATTTCAAAGTAGAGTTTACAACGGGTCATAATAATAATCCCCAGTGGTCAGGGTATTATGGCACTGAATGTTACACAGTATTTCAATTATATTATTTGTTTAGTTCTATACATAAAGGGTAACTTATTCACAACTGCGTGAGTACAGGCGTGTGAGGCAGTATGTCTGGCCTCACACTTTGTTATTGACATTGCCGAGAAGTAATTCAAGCACATTGTGTATTTGGTTCTGTACATGAGAACTGATATAGTTACTAAATGCAAAAAGTGGATACAATCTTAATATGTCGGCTATCTTGCCATTAGAGATGAAGTGTTGTGCCATTTCACACACAGTGCTTGGACCTGTCCCTAAAGGTTCTATCTTCACACAGTCGAGGATCGTAGTGTTCAAGTGTGTGGCCATATGTCTGGCCACACAGTTTACATTAGTTTTGTTTACATCTGCTTGAGGAACATACTGCCAAAGGTACTTATATCCTAACCTTAGTCTACGGTTACAACATCTTGTAATCTAGTATCTTGATACTTGCTCCATATACATGTTTCACTTGATACATCTCATCATGGTAACCTATGGATCGACTAGTGTCTGTTTGCACTTGTCTACTTGCGTCAAACTCATCAATATGGTCTTTCCTAATTACAGTTTTAAGGGTTCTTTTGCAGACCCAGATTGTGTTCAACAGTGTCTTTGTTAGATGCGAGTTTGGCGAGGGCATAGAGGGGAGGGTGGAGGGAGTGAGGTAACAGGTCGTGGTTTTATTCCTGGAGTCGTCCTTGAGGGGTGACCTGAGGGTGACCTTGGGCCGGTCCACAGTCAAAACACTCGACGTCTTTGAGAATTTATTTTTTTCTTCTCTCAACCGCTTCATTGTTGTTATACGTGGCGGAATAACAAACAACAACAACAGTAATAATAATAACAGTGACAACAAACAAATAAGGACAACAATAACAACAACATCTTGAAGGTTGTATTGCAAGAAAATTACAGGTTGACCAATTAATGAGGCCTTGGCATATACGTTTCTCCCACCTCCTACATTACCACTAGCTCTCTCTCCACCACTGTCTCCCCCTCCATCACTCCCTCTCCACCACTATCTCCCCTCACCACTACTTCCCTCTCCACCACTATCTCCCCCTCCATCACTACTTCCCTCCTCCACCCACTATCTCCCCTCCACTATCACCTCTCCCACTATCTCCCCTCCATCCTACCTCCTCTCCACCACTATCTCCCCTCTACCTCCCTCTCACCACTATCTCCCCTCCATCACTACTTCCCTCTCCACCACAGAAGGAAGGGAGGGAGGTAGGTGTGAGGGAAGTGTAGAGGTATGGGAGGGAGGGTAGGTGTAGAGAGGAGGGAGGAGGGTAGGTGTAGAGGTAGAGGGAGGAGTAGTGTAGAGGTAGAGGAGGGTGGGTGTAGGAGTAGAGGGAGGAGGGAAGGTGGTGAGAGGAGGTGGAGGTAAAGGAGGGAGGTGGTAGAGGGGGAGGGAGGGTAGAGGAGAGGGAGGGTAGGTGTAGAGGTAGTGGGAGGGAGGGTAGGTGTAGAGGTGGGGAGGGAGGGTAGGTGTCGGGGCTGCATCAGGTGGGTGATGTTAAAGGTGAGACCATCGTCAGTACCTCACCTGTACATCTGAGGTCAACCTGGCCAGATATGAGTCTCACCTGTGGCACTAATGAGTCTCACCTGTGGCACTAATGAGTCTCACCTGTGGCACTAATGAGTCTCACCTGTGACACTAATGACTCTCACCTGTGGCACTAATGAGTCTCACCTGTGGCAGTAATGAGTCTCACCTGTGGCAGTAATGAATCTCACCTGTGGTATTAATGAATCTCACCTGTGGCAGTATGAGTCTCACCTGTGGTACTAATGATGGTCAACTTGGTAATTTTAGGATCAGATCTGGCACTGATGAAGGCTAGATGTAGCATTGATGAATGAACTGTTAGACGTGTGTGTGTGTGTGTGTGTGTGTGTGTGTGTGTGTGTGTGTGTGTGTGTGGACCCTGATCACACAACAGAGGAGGCGTTGTACAAAGCTGTCTCCATCACCCCACACCTTCTTCACCGTCTCATCCTGCTGTTACACCTCCTGCGCTACACCTCCTGCTATTCCACCTCCTGTTGTTACACCCTCCTGTTGTTACACCTCCCTGCTGTTGCTAACCCTCCTGCTGTTACACCTCCTGTTGTTACACCTCCTGCTGTTACACCCTCCTGTTGTTGCATTCCCTCCTGTTACACCTCCTGCTGTTACACCTCCTGCTGTTACACCCTCCTGTTGTTACACCCTCCTGTTGTTACACCCTCCTGCTGTTACACCCTCCTGCTGTTACACCCTCCTGCTGTTACACCTCCTGCTGTTACACCCTCCTGCTGTTACATCCTCCTCAAACTAAAACACGAGACAAGATTGGACCAATACAGTCAGATACCGGCGAGCTAACTGATAACGACGGAGAAATGAGCAATAATCTGAATAAATATTTTTCAACAGTTTTCACCACCGAAAGTTTAAACATGATACCCGAGGCACCGACTCTATACTGTACAGAGATAGCAAAGATAAGAGATTTAGCGAGATAGTCGTGACTAGTGACGATGTTAGTAAGTAAATAGACAAACTAAAGCCTAATAAGTCACCAGGTCCCGATGAGATATTTGACAGAGTATTAAAAGAATGTAAGGAAGAGCTTAGTATGCCCTTAGCAAAGTTGTTTAACATGTCCTTAAAAACAGGTGTAGTACCAGAATCCTGGAGGATAGCGAATGTAATACCGGTTTTCAAGACGGGAGATAGATCACTATCCTCTAACTACCGTCCAATCAGTCTAACATCAATTGTAGGCAAATTACTGGAAGCAATCATTTCAAACTCTATTCTAAATCACCTGGAGAAGCACAAGTTGATCAATGATTCCCAGCATGGCTTCACAAGCGGGCGTTCATGTCTAACTAATCTATTAACATTCTTTTCATCAGTTTTCGAATCGGTGGACGAGGGGCACAATTATGATGTGGTATATCTCGACTTGAGCAAAGCCTTCGACAGAGTCCCCCACTAAAGACTACAGTAATGGCATTAAAGGTGATACTCTAAAATGGATTAGGGCGTGGTTACAAGACAGGAAACAGCGAGTGAGCATTAACGGCACTAAATCCCATTGGAGCAACGTCACTAGTGGAGTTCCCCAAGGCTCAGTACTTGACCATTATTATTTATTATATACATAAACGACATAGATATCGGCATAGACAGCAACATAAGTAAATTTGCTGATGACACTAAAATAGGACGTGTTATTAATCTGACGAGGACTCAGCAAACTACAGGAAGCTCTAAACAAATTGAATGGTCTGAAAATGGCAGATGAAATTCGATGTGGACAAATGTAAAGTACTCAGCATAGGAGATGTAAACAGGGAAACCAGATACCAGATGAACAACGATGTTATTGAGAACTCCGACAGCGAGAGAGATTTAGGAGTAATGATAAGTAGGAATCTTAAGCCAAGTAAACAACGTGTATTTGCTCGTAACAAGGCTAATAAAAAACTTGGGTTCATACAAAGGAGTGTTAGTTACAAGACTAGCGAGGTCATCTTAAGACTATATCTTGCGACTATATCTTGAGCTTGTGAGACCTCACTTGGATTACGCAGTTCAATTCTGGTCACCGTATTACAGAATGGATATAGAATCCTTGGAAAGAATTCAGAGGATAATAACAAGACTAATCCCGGGCATTAGGAACCTTGAGTACAGAGACAGGTTAAAGCATCTTAATTTGCACTCCCTTGAGAGACGTAGAGCGAGGGGCGACCTGATAGAGGTTTATAAATGGAAGTCAGGGCTAAACAAAGGGGACATTACAAAGGTACTCAAACTATCCAACCAGGAGCGAACTCGTAGCAATGGTTTTAAATTAGACAAATTTAGATTTAGGCGTGAAATAGGTAAACATTGGTTTGGAAATAGAGTAGTGGGCGAGTGGAACAAGTTACCAAACATCATCATTAACTCGAATACGCTGAATAGCTTCAAACATAGGTTGGATGGATATATGTTTGTAAGATTAAATCTTAACGTAGAAGCAACAATCCACATTAGCTCCGGACATGTATGAGCAACAGGGGTTGGGTGTAAATGGGACTGCCCAGTATTGGCCAATAGGCTCGCTGCAGTTTCCTCCATTCTTATGTACTTATGGTATGGTTACTGGTCACTGTCTTATTGGTCGTGCTGTTGACATGGCCTTGTCTCCACACACACACACACACACACACACAAGCGAGACCTGGCAGGCACGACGGGCACGGCTGACTGGTTACATGGACGCCGGGGAGGGGGGGGCTGTTATGTGGGGCCCCACATGGTGAGGGGATAAGTGGGTACAGTGGAGAGAGCAACAGGAATCTTGAAGAGAGAGAGAGAGAGAATGAGTGTGTGTGAGAGAGGGAGGGAGGAAAGGAGGGTGAGGGAGAATAAGGTGGAGGGTAAGGGGTGAAGTTTTCAAGGTACCAGTGGAAGTAGGAGCGGTGGAGGGGCAGGCAGGTGGTGGCATGTGCGATACTGCTGAAGAACCTATGGTGTGTGGGTCGAGGTGCAGGAGTGACCGACCCACGCGCTGGCCCGGACCCCACACACACACACACACACACACACACACACACACACACACACACACACACTCCGTTTTGTAATGAAAGAAAGAATGTTTTTCTCAACAACACTCCACCAAGGCACTACTGTATGTAATGAGTCATGTCTGTTCATGTTGTGTATTCTTGGCTGCTGCAAGTTTTTACACTAAAACGGTCGTTATTATTATTATTTTATTATTATTAATTCATTATTATTATCATCGTTATTATTTATATTATTGTTATTGGTGTTACTACTACCACAGCTGTCACTCATCACGGTGTAGCGAACAATACTGATAGTTCTTATTAGTGTCATCCTCGGTGTCTCGAGACGTAGATACCAGACCGGCAGTGTTACACGCGTGGTGGACTACATCTAGTGCGGGAAGGACGGCGGCAGCGTGTTTCCGGCGCTGGTGCTTGTCTGTCTCGGCAGGTGTAGCCGAATATAGTAACTCAAAACTTTCAACACCTCGGTGGTGCTTTTCCCATCGTAATAGTGCACACACACACACACACACACACACACACACACACAGCGTTATCTTGCGTCATATCCGGCGTGGTGGTGGTGGGTTTGTACACTAACTTAAGAGTTATCAGTGTTAGTGCCACGCCACGATACTGTTGGACCAGTACATCCCAGCAGCGTCTCCTCTCTCTCTCTCACCTCGCTCCCAGGGTTGAGAGGTCAAGCCAAGGAGGTGGGATAGCTATTGCGGCACTCAGCAGTATTGGTGGCCAATTTAGGTACATTTGCCGTAGTGCCAGTGTCCCCTTAGTGCCACCCTAACAACGGGGCCAGTGTGTGTGCGGGGCGACGTTAGGATCTGACCGTTTTCTGTGACGCCAGTGCCTCGTGTCCATTAGTCAGTGGACGGTGAGGGAGACGCGCGCTAGTTGGGTGTCACTATTGCCCATGCAACTTGTTGTACTCCCGAGACTTTTGGTGTTGACAAGTGACCAGTGTTAAGTTTGTGTGTTAGTCAGTGAGTGAGATACAGTACTGCCCCCACCTGCTTCATAGTACATTACTCTTAAGTGTACTTTATACTCAAACCTGTACTTGTATTACTTATAAAATTAACTTTATACATCTGGATCGTGACTTATCATATGGGAATCACCACACGTGTATTTCATCAATAAATTTGTACTTAAGACAATATATTCCCGCAAGAAAGTGAACTAAAAAGTGTGTGTTGAGCTGACACTGCTGGCCTGGAGGATGGAGTGATCAGACACGACACTGACACAAGGAAGAACCTCAACACCTCGTCATGTTTCGCTCGGACAAGACAGTAAGTGTTACCTCAAGGTGTATCTCAGTATGGCTTCACGGGTGATGGGGGTGTGTAATGCTTCTATCCTCCCCCTCATCCCCCATCTCTCCCCCCACACACTCCCCCAGCAGCCCTCGCGTGGTGTCGTGTCACTTGTACCCATCTTAGTGTGAGGGTCAACCATCTTGTAGAATGACGGTGAAAAGTTCTGGAGTTTGTTTACCTTTTGAGTGCTTGATCCCCCCGGCACCTCCACCACAGGCACCTCCCCCCAGGCACCTCCCCCCAGGCTCCTCATTGTGTCATCCTCATTGCATTATTTTTGCTACTGGTGAAAGTGTTGAGAGTGGTGAGGAGACGTGTTCAGTGTGTTATGGTTAAGACACACACACACGTCCTTCAGTAGTAGTGATGGTGGTGGGAGGCGGCCACGACACAATGGGTTGTCTTGAAAGTTGTATTCAAGTTAAGACAAATAATAAGGTTAGTTCTGTACGGTCCCTGCATGTGTGTGTTTAGGTCCGTTGACGCATCTGCACGATTCACTACATGTATTTGTGTTCCGTGCATTCATCCACATGTACTTCCGCGCATGCATCTGAGCGTCCATGCGTGCGTGTGTGCATCCGTGTGTGTGTCCTGGTTATGACAGTGATATCTGGAGAAGACATCACAGCGGCCTTGGTACATCACAGGCCTTGGCTGCCTGCGGCCTGGCACATCACAGCGGCCCTGGTACATCCGCAGCGGCCCACATCACAGCAGCGTGCTGTACATCACAGCGGCCCTGGCGGCACTCAAGCGGCCTGGTACATCACAGCGGCCTTGGCACATCACAGCCCTGGCATCACAGCAGCCCTGGTACATCACAGCGGCCCGGCACATCACGCAGCCCTGGCACATCACAGCGGCCGGTACATCACAGCGGCCTGGTACATCACAGCAGCCCTGGTACATCACAGCGGCCCTGGCACATCACAGCGGCCCTGGCACATCACAGCGGCCCTGGTACATCACAGCGGCCCGGCACATCACAGCAGCCCTGGTACATCACAGCGGCCTTGGTACATCACAGCGGCCTTGGTACATCACAGCGGCCCTGGTACACTGCACAGCGGCCCTGGTACATCACAGCACCCTGGGCCTCCAGCGGCCCTGGTACCACGCGGCCCGCAACACAGCAGCCCTGTACATCACAGCGGCCCTGGTACATCACAGCGCCCTGGCATCACAGCGGCCCTGGTACATCACAGCGCCCTGGTACATCACAGCGGCCCTGGCACATCACAGCGGCCCTGGTACATCACAGCGCGCCCTGGCCATCGGCAGCCCCTGGCACATCACAGCGGCCCCGGCAATCACAGCGCCTGGCACATCACAGCGGCCCTGGCACATCACAGCGGCCCTGGCACATCACAGCGGCCCTGGCACATCACAGCAGCCGGTACATCACAGCGGCCCTGGCACATCACAGGCCCTGGCACATCACAGCGGTGGCACATCACAGCGGCCTTGTTCACGGACAGCTGTGACCTGATCACCTCCTAACCAAACCTAACCTAATACGGGACCACCAATCTTGAACTATGTTTGTTTTGAAATTTTCCCACTCACTCACTGTGTGCGAGAGATAACAGGATAAAGATTACTGATATAGAGACACAGGACTAACAACTATTGGTGGATGTTGTAACCGACAGAGAGAGAGAGAGTTTGTATGATAAGTAGATAACACACCTAATATCTGACATTGTTTGTCTAACCTCTACTGAGTCCAAAACTTGTGAGGAACAAAGTGAACCTTTGTGATGATTTGAATGAATATTTGTGTCGTCTTCTGGGGTAGAGGTGGTGGGTGTGTGGGGTGTGGGGGGTGTAGAGGCGTGGTGGGTGTAGAGGTGGTGTGGGTGTAGAGGGTGGTAGAGGCTGTGTGTAGAGTGGGGTGGGTGGGTGTAGAGGCGTGATGGTGGGTAGATGTGGTGGTGGTGAGAGGTGGTGGTGGGTGTAGAGGTGTGGGTGAGAGGCTGGGTGTGAGGAGGCGTGGTGGTGGGTGTAGAGGCGTGAGGTGTAGAGGCGTGATGGTGGGTGTAGAGGATGGTGGGTGGAGGCGTGGTGGTGGGTGTAGAGGCGTTGTTTTGCGGACGGGGAGGAGGAGTGGAATGCATGATGGGATAAGGTTTACCTTGACTGTATGGGGAGAGGAGGTGGAGATAGGTGTGGGGAGAGGAGGGGTGATGGGAGGTGGGGGAGAGGAGGGGTGGATGGTAGAGGTGATGGGGAGAGGAGGGGGGTGGGATGTAGAGGTATGGGGAGAGGGAGGGGGTGGATGGTAGAGGTAGGGGAGAGGAGGGGGAGGTAGAGGTATGGGGAGAGGAGGGGTGGATGGTAGAGATGGGGGAGAGGAGGGGTGGGATGTAGAAGGATGGTAGAGGTATGGGGAGAGGAGAGGGGGGGAGGGGGAGGGTATGGGGGAGGGGTGAGAGAGGGAGAGGAAGGGAGGAGGGGGAGAGGAGGGGGATGTAGAGGTATGGGGAGAGGAGGGGGTGATGTAGAGGTATGGGGAGAGAGGGGTGTTGGTAGAGGATGGGGAGAGGAGGGGTGGATGGTAGAGGTATGGGGAGAGAGGGTGATGGTAGAGGAAGGGAGAGGAGGGTGGGATGTAGAGGTATGGGGGAGAGAGGTGGATGGTAGAGGTAGGGGAGAGGAGGTGGATGAGGATGGGGAGAGGGGGGAAGGGCTGGTTTGATGAGGTAGTGTGTGTGTTTGGACATACGAGGTGAGGTAGGAGGGGGTGGTGGTGCTAGTGGGGTGGTGGTGGTGCTAGTTGGGGTGGTGGTGGTGTAGTTGGGTGGAGAGATATTAGGGAGCCTGGGGGGGGCGGGCGGGGTATACTTGGTACCCTGAACTGTGGTATTGGGAGAGAGGTGGGAGGTATATAAACATATGTATGGATGATGAATAGCAGGTGTGAAGCAGTGGCCCACCTGTGTGTGCAGTTGTGTGTGTGTGTGTGGCTGGCAGTTAAGGTGTGTTGTGTGTGGCTGGCAGTTGTGTGTGTGTGTGCAGTTATGTGTGTGTGTGTGATCAGTTGGTGGTGTGTGTGTGACTGGCAGTTATGTGTGTAGCTGGTGTTATGTGTGTGGCTGGCAGTTATGTGTGTGTGTGATGCATAAATGTGTAGGGGTAGGACTGGCACTTGGTGTGGGGTGGCACTTAAGTGTGTGGTGTGGGTTATAAGAGTGTTGGCAGGTGGGTATGTGTCCATGACTGGTTTAGTGTACCCAGGTGGGGCGATGGTGAACAGACGTGCTATGTACAGTATGTGGAGTTTGTTTGCCTGGTGTTGTTGTGTTACCTTGTGTGTTGTTGTGTGCCTGATTGTTGTGTTACTGTGTTACCTTGTGTGTTGTGTGTTGTTCGTGTTTGTGTTGTTGTGTTGCCTTGTGTTGTTGTGTTGCCTGTGTGTTGTTGTGTGCCATTGTGCCTGTGTTGTTGTGTTGCCTTGTGTGTTGTTGTGTTGCCTGTGTGTTGTTGTGTTGCCTGTTGTTGGTTGCCTTGTGGTTGTTTCCTTGTGTGTTGTTGTGTTGCCTTGTGTGTTGTTGTGTTGCCTGTGTGTTGTTGTGTTGCGTTTCGTGTTGTTGTGTTGCCTTGTGTGTGTTGTTGTGTTGCCTTGTGTGTGTTGTTGTGTTCCTTGGTGTTGTTGTGTTGCCTGTGTTGTTGTGTTGCTTGTGTTGTTGTGTTGCCTGTGTGTTTGTGTTTTTGTGTTTCTGTGTGTTGTTGTGTGCCTTGTGTGTTGTTGGTTGCCTGTGGTTTGTTTGGTGTTGTGTTGCCTGTGTGGTTGTGTTGCCTTGTGTGTTGTTGTGTTGCCTTGTGTGTTGTTGTGTGTCCTTGTGTGTTGTTTACCTTGGTGTTTGTTGTTCTTGTTGTTGTTGTGCCTTGTTGTTGTGGTACTTGTGAGTTGTTGTGTTGCCTTGTGTGTTGTTGTGTTGCCTTGTGTGTGTTGTGTCCTGTGTGTTGTTGTGTGTCTTGTGTTGTTGTGTTGCCTTGTGTGTTGTTGTGTTGCCTTGTGTGTTGTTGTGTTGCTGTGTGTGTGTGTGCTGTGTGTTGCCTTGTGTGTTGTTGTGTTGCCTGTGTGTGTGTTGCCTTGTGTGTTGTTGTGTTGCCTGTGTGTTGTTGTGTTACCTTGTGAGTTGTTGTGTTGCCTGTGTGTTGTGTTGCCTGTGTTGTTGTGCCTTGTGTGTTGTTGTGTTGCTTGTGTGTTGTTGTGTTGCTGTGTGTTGTTGTGTTGCCCTGTGTGTTGTGTGCCTTGTGTGTTGGTGTTTGTGTTTGTGTGTTGTTGTGTCCTGTGTGTTGTTGTGTTGCCTTGTGTGTTGTGTGGCCTTGTGTGTTGTTGTGTTACCTGTTTGCCGTGTTGTTGTGTTGTTGTGTGTTGTTGTGTTGCCTTGTGTGTTGTTGTGTTGCCTTGTGTGTTGTTGTGTTGCCTGTGTGGTTGTGTTGCCTTGTGTGTTGTGTTACCGTGTGTGTTGTGTTGCCGTGTTGTTGTGTTCCTTGTTGTGTTGTTGTGTTGCCTTGTGTGTTGTTGTGTTGCCTTGTGTGTGTTGTGTTGCCTGTGTGTTGTGTTGCCTTGTGTGTTGTTGTGTTGCCTTGTGTATTGTTGTGTTGCCTGTGTGTTGTTGTGTTGCCTTGTGTGTTGTGTTGCCTTGTGTGTTGTTGTGTTGCCTTGTGTGTTGTTGTGTTGCCTTGTGTTGTTGTGTTGCTGTGAGCTACCTGTGAGGGATGCCACGCCTTTAATTGATGGTCCTTATATTACTATAAATCCCCACACCCTCCCTCATACACCTGTCTCCCCACACCTGTCCCCCCATACCTATCCTCATACCTGTCTCCCCATACCTGTCCTCATACACCTGTCCCCCACACTGTCCCCCCACACCTGTCCCCCACACCTGTCCCCTGCACCTGTCCCCTGCACCTGTCGTCCCGTATACATGTATAACCAGCAAGTGACTGAAGTCGTG